CTCTCACTCTCACTCTCACTCTCACTCTCACTCGTGTGTGTGTCTGTGTCTTTTTGGTGCAGAGAGTCAAACACAGGATGCCATGCACACAGACAGGTCTTTGCCACACAAAAACAATCTTCAGCATTGTTTTTCCTACAGTTGGAGCTTGTCTAGCAAAGATGTGTGGGTAGATGAAAACCCTCCCCAGAACGTGGTGAATAAGAATGACAATGCATATATATCTGTGTGTTCACCCACAAAGCTCCACATTTGTAGAAGAATTTTTACTTTTAGTGTAGTTTGTTTGATTGATTGAGATAGGGTCTCGCTGTATAGACCAGCCTGGCCTGGAACTCAAAGAGATCTGCCTTCCTTTGCCTCTCAAGTGTGGAGACTAAAGGCATACCAAGCCTGACCTTTTAATAACATTTTATTTTAATAGCATCTTTGTCTTTATAAGTTAATATATGTGAATGAAGTGTGGGAGAAAACTACTCAGAAAAACTGTTACTCAGTTCTCTTTAAGAAATATTATTTTCATATTGATTTGTTTCCTTTAAGTACATTTTCCATGTAAAATGGTTACATGTCTACCAGTTTTCTTTGAAAATTAGGATAATGCTATATAATAATTCCATGCTCTTCCCCCCACGTTATTGTAAATAATTTCTGGAAACATTGTCCCTCAGCACCGTATTTCCTGTGTAGATGTATCACTCACGTGCTTTGGATAAGATGCTGTTTCAGGTTTTCACTGAAATGCGTTATCCTGCAGTGAAAAACTCTAAACATATATAAAGGTTGTGTCTGTTTTTTTTTTTTAAGTAGATTCTTTGATGTAGAATTAGTACATCATAACATGTATGATTAAAGTCTCTATATTAAAATTGCTATGGATTTTTCCAAAATTTCCATCATACATGCATTTATTCTAGAATTGTATGAGAGCAACTGTCACTAACACTTGGTTATGATTGCATATTGTTATTTTAAAAATTAGGACCACTTAAATCTAAAATAGTTCGATGGCAGTTTTAGGAATAATTCTAATAATATTAGTGAAGTTAATCATAACCATGTTGTTGGTTGCTTTTCCCTCATGGAATGTCTGTTGTATTCTTTACCATTTTTTCAGGTTGTTTTATGACTTAGTTTTATATTACTGCAATTATTTCATAGTTTGCGGTTTTACTTACTGTTTTGTTTCCTAGCTTGTTTTAATATTGTTTTGTAGGATGTTGGTCTCACATTGGGGATCCCCAAGAGTGTCACTATGAAGAATGTGTTGTAACTACCACCCCGCCCTCTATTCAGAATGGAACATACCGCTTTTGCTGCTGTAGTACAGATTTATGTAATGTCAACTTTACTGAGAATTTTCCACCTCCTGATACAACACCACTCAGTAAGTATTTCAGTAACTTCTTTATAATTCCTTGCTTTATGAAAATATAAAACAGATAAACATTCAAGATTAGTGGAAGTGAAAGGGAGAGTTCTAGCGTTGTAAAATTTTATCTAAAGCCCCAAAAGAGATTTACCAGCACCAGCAAAGCATCAGTATACAACAACTAAGTCTCAGGAAATGGTGGTGTGTGCTTGTAGTTTCAGAACTCCAGAGACTGAGGCAGGAGGATTACAAGCCAGCCTGAGCTACCTGGTCAATTCTTGGCCAGTCTGGACCACATAACAGGATCATGTCTCAACAAACAAAAAATCAAAACCTTAAGGAAGGGAATTAGTGATATCAAGAAAACTACAAGTAGTTGTGGTGGTGCGTGTCCTTAATCTTACCCAGCACCACCCTCAATGACACTGGAGGCAGAAGCAGCTGGCTCTCTGTGAGTTTGACACCAACTTGGTTTACATAGCCAGTTCTCTATACAATGAGATATTGTCTCAAAAATAAAACAATAACAAAAAAATAAAAGAAAAAGGAAACTATAGCTATAGTTTGGAGGCGTGTGCCTGTCGTCCAACTTATTCTGGAGGCTAAGGAAGAAGGGCCACTTGAGGTCATATAGTAAAGTCTAGTGTGAGAAATATAGAGAAATTGTAACTCAAGAAACAGACAACAGCCAGCATTGTGGCACACACCTTTAGTCCAAGGACTGGTAGGCAGAGGCAGGTCAATCTGTGAGTTTGAGGCCAACTTGGTCTACGTAGCATGTTCTAGACCAGCCAGAGCTCCAGGGAATGGCATGTTGCTGTGACAGGTATTTTTTGGGAGAATGTATGAGACTTTGTATTAAGAGTGGTTGAATGGCCATACTAGGTCATTGGAAGCTCACAGTAGGGGCTCGGAAGACAGTAGTGCTGAGAGTGATGTGGGCTTTGGCAGACAAGCGCAAGAGGGTTCAGAGGGGAGTAATAGTAGTAACTAGCCTAGAGTCCATTTTTGTGATATCTTGGCAAAGAATGTGGTGCTTTTTGCCCTTGTCCTAAGAATCTGTTTGAGGCTGTGAGTGCAAGTGCCAGAGGAAGCCAGAAGAAGGAAACGGTAGCTTTACAAGTGGTTGTAAGCTGCTCTGTGTGGTGTTGAGATCCAAAGGTTGGACTCTCTGCAAGAGCATTAGATGCTTCAATCCCATCAAGCCATCTTTCCAGCTCTAATTTTGAAGTGCTAAAAGGACTTTTCAGCTAAGCAGTAATTGAGCTGCTATAATGACTAGACTGTCCCATAATTAACGGCAAAAATGTTCTGTCCCCAGAACTCATAAAAAAAGAAAAAGCCGGTCACGTTGGCATGGGCTTGCAATCTCAGCTCTGGGGAGACAGACAGGCAGAGAATGGAGCTCGCTGTCCAGCAAGCCTAGGTCCTAGTGAGAGAGGCCTTAGAAAACCAGCTAGGCAATGCCTGTGGAATTACATCAAGCTTCCTGTGCACACGCATAAGTGCACACACACTGTATGCACACAGGTACCTACAGGTGTGTCCACACATACACTCAACATAGAGTGTGCTAAGGGCCAACGTGGGTCAAGTGAATAAGTGGACGCTTTAACATTGTCTCAGTGTCAAACTTCACTGACAACAGTAGTGTGGTTCAGTAGTAGTCTAAAGAGATAAAGAGAACAGATGAGGAAAATATCTGTTTCATATGAAATACTATATAACTGTTGAAGCAAACAGCTCTAAACTCAGGAAAAGTGGTGCTTACCTATTACCCCAGCACTTGGAGAAGTGGATGTAGGAGGAGGCAAAGCTCAAGGCCAACCTTGGTTATTTAGCAAATTCATGACCACTCTGGGTTTTATGAGATCCTGCTTCAAAAAAACTTACTAAATAAGTAAATATACCAATAAATACTATGAAAAACGCATAATGATCTTGAAAATAATTATTACGCTAACAAAAATCCTGGGGGCTGAATAGATGACACGGTTGTTAAGAACACTGGCCGCTCTTGCAGAGGACCCAGGCTTGATCACAGTACCCACATGATCGCTCACTACTGTCTGTAACTCTAGTTCCAGGGCCTCTCTTCCCCTTTCTTGGCCTCCATGGGCACCAGCCATGCACCTGGTGCACAGACAACGTTCAAACAAAATACCTAGACTAATAAAATATGAAAGGAAATAAAAATCTGGGCGTATAATAATTGCATCTTACTGACATAACCATACTACAGTTTGAAGGACTATAAAGAAGCTATGTCTCCTCCCCCACCTCTTGGAGCACCTTGTTAGTCCAGACTGGCCTTGAACTCCATGTAGCCCAGGCTAGCTACAAACCCAAAATCTTCCTGTTTTCACCCCCTGAGCCTTGCAATTACAGGGATGTACCACTGTACCAGACTTGTTTCTTCTTAAAAAGTGCCCCTTTGGGCTGGAGAGATGACTCAATGGCCAGAAGACCCAGTTTTGAGTTTTGGCATCCACATGGTGGCTCAAAACATCTGTAATTCTAGTCCCATCCGGTGCTGTCTGCTGACGTCTTAGGGCACTAGTCATGTATATTGTGCACAGACATATATGCATGCAGAATACTCATATATAAATAAAAAAATTTTAAATTTAGTTTAAAAATTGCCTTTTTGAGCCGGGCGGTGGTGGCGCACGCCTTTAATCCCAGCACTCATTTATATTCATTCTTAAGTACAAAACACTACTTTTAGTTCCTTGTCTCTACACCTCATAAATGAGGCATCAGACCAGGCGGTGATGCCATGCTTCTTTAATCCCAGCACTCAAGAGGCAGAGGCAGGCAGATCTCTGAGTTTGAGGCCAGCCTGGTCTACAGAGAGAGTTCCAGGACAGGCTCCGAAAGCTCTAAAACCAGGGCTGATCCACAGAGAAACCCTGTCTCAGAAAAAAAAAAGTATCAGAATATTTTAGGCACTGCTTTTAATTTTTAAAGTAATACTAGAATCCAGAAAACTCTCCCTTACTACATACCATTATATGATCACATTTTCAAACAAACATCCTTGAAAAATAGAGCCTTTTTTTTTTAGAATTTATAAAGAAAACACTGCATCACTCTACATAGTAAGGCTACATTCTAGGACATAGCAGAAAGTACTTAGTATTCTTTGTTTATTCTGATCATTTCCTAGAAGGTTATTTTTACCTGAACAGCTCATTTCTTTTAAAAAGCACTTAGAAGTTTTTACGTATATAGGTGCTTTGGTTTCATATATGTGTGTGCAGTATGCTTGGTGCTGCAGGGGCCAGAAGAGAGTCTTATGTCTCTTGAAACTGGAGTTACAGATGGTTGTGATCCACCATTGAGGGTCTTCTGGAAGAGCCTGAGCGCTCTTAACTGCTGGACAATTTCTCTAGCCTCAGAAACTATACGTTAATTATGTGTATGTGTGTTCCTGTGTGAGTGTCTGCCACATATGTGCAGTTGCCCACAGAGGCAAAAACCGGGTTTCTGAGAAGTAAAAAAGCCATTGCTGTTTCCAGTTTTGGCAACTGAAGCTTAGTTACTTATTGAATCTTCCTTGGAGATTAATTACTGTCATTAAGAAAAATAATTTTATAATTAGAACTCCAAGCTAATAATTTTTTCTGTAATTCCTAGTAGTTGAGATCTGAGATTGCCATCAGAGGCCGCAAGTCTGTCCAGTCAAGAGAATGTTAACAGATAATTTTCTAAGGCCAGACTGGCCAGAGACAAGGTTTAAGGACTTATTATTACTGCCTTAGATTTTTTTGTACCCCAATTTTCAGTTTTCAAAGATTTCTCCTCTCTGTAGTCTGTTTTAGACTTCTAGAACATATCTGATTGCTTTCATTTTATGGGAACCTTAACAAATGCTAAGTAGTTCTTGGGGCTGAGGCGATAGCTCAGAGGCTGGGGAGGTAACAGAGGACCCAGGTCCAACACCCACATGCACACGGTGGATCAGGGCCGCCTGTGACTCACACTGGATCCACGCCCTCTTCTGGCCCCCGCAGGCACTACACTACTGTAGTGCACATGTAGGCATGCAGGCAAGGTACATACACATAAAATAAATCTAAATTTAAAAAATATACTAAGTAGTTATGTACCTATTTATATACAATTTAAAGTAGACTTGACTTGAGACAAAATTATGAAATTAAGAAAAGTTAACTTTTTTTTTTTTTTTTTGGTTTTTCGAGACAGGGTTTCTCTGTGGCTTTGGAGCCTGTCCTGGAACTAGCTCTGTAGACCAGGCTGGTCTCGAACTCACAGAGATCCGCCTGCCTCTGCCTCCCGAGTGCTGGGATTAAAGGCGTGCGCCACCACCGCCCGGCCTTGAGAGCTTTCTTTATGAAGAGGGGATGCACAGTTTATCTTGTGCCTGGTGTCCCTGGAATCTGTTAACTTTCTTCACTCCTTAACAGTTCTGCTGTTTGCATGGTTTCCCACTGATCTTAAGACAGTAATTGTAGATAGCTATTTAATGGGGTTTTATTCATGAAATACTTGTGTTAAACTTCAAGTGGTAAAGACTATTATTCCATGTGGGATAAGCCCAGCAGTTAAACTTGTTCACGCGGTGTTCAGTGATGGCAGCTGAGCACCTGAACACTCAGTGTGTAGCACACACTGTTCTTTTATTACTCATGTGCATTAAAATTTTAATTTAACCCTTTCAGAAACATTGTGAAATAGTTACAATTGCCTTCTTATTTTATGTTGAGGACCCTAAGGCTTAGGTATGTAAAAGTAATTTGCCTGGTGTTATATAACTAACAAGTGGTAGCCAAGATTGAATTCTGAGTGTTCTGACTCCAGGCTGTGTTTCATCAGTACACAAGCAGTGGTACAGGGATACTTTGTTTATGTTTTAACAAATAAAGCTTGCCTGAAGATCAGAGAGGCAATGCTGTCAGCTGAGATCTTTTACCTCTACTGATGCTCAGACTGAAAGGGTGATTCTGTCCATAGACTGTCTCCCCAGACTTTGTCCTCTAACTGCAAAGGGG